GCGGTGGACATTCATCGCCAATTTTCATCGCCAATTATGTGAAATCTACGGAGAAAAGTGTATGAGCGTAAAGCACGTGCGAAAATGGTGCAGAAAATTCAAAGACGGACGTACAGATGTCCATGACGAACAGCGTTGCGGACGGCCATCCGTTCTAAGCTACCTTCGCGGCGTGGCGGAGAGTTCTATGATGCGGGCATAAAAAAGATGGTGTACCTCATGCAAAAATGCATTGATCTGAACGGCGATTGCGTCGAAAAATAGGGTTAAGTCTAAGCTTTCCAAAAACATATTACTCAATGCCAATAAACATGTTTTTCATTGTGAAAAATCATTGGGAACCTTATTTTACGGACAACCCTCGTATAACGAATAACTTTCTTGCCTTTTTTCTCACGTTTAATTCAATTTTTATTTTTTTTCAGATATCATATGTCTAATGGTGGTAACAGGTCGAAGCGCGTATAGACTACGGGTGTTCCGTACCTAGTGTTACTCCCTGAAAGAGGTGGTAGAGGACGTCATTCTATACAAGATTTTCCTTTGCAAAAATGGGGTTTGAAGATTCGTTTTTGAATTATTAAGCAAAAACACGGACCAATCGGAGCACGAGGATTTCGCGCGCTCAGACGCGAGAGCGACAGCTTCGAAAATGACAGTCGATCGTGATCGTGAACAAGCGTATCGATACCACGTCGGTATAACGTCGGTATATCGTCGGTATAACAGGAAGCTATTAGGTAAAAGTTAAATCGAATAATGAATTAAGAAGTTAAGAATAATATTAAATTCTTTGTAATTCATGAATGAGAGATAAACCAATTAGTTGTTGTTTACCCATACTAAGTATATTGTATTTATTTTACGCCTTCGAAAAGGAAAAAGAATAAATTCAAGAAAATTAATTTTTCGACTCTTCGAATGAAGCAAACGAATAAATTCACGTTTCAAAACGAATGAGTACCTTGTCTATGAAATGGGATAAAACTGGAATGGAATATCTAATGCAGTATCTCATTGAAATGAAATAAATCAATTGCTGCGTACATTTAATTTAAAAAATACAAAAACATCTTAAATAAAACTTACCCATTGATTCATGAAGAAACTAGCTTCGATAAAAAATATTTGTGTCACCGGGTAGATACACCGATCAGAGTATCAACAGCTGATGTCCTAGCAGGGTCAATGAACTCTCAATTTATTTCACTGTCTCCTTCTAATAATTGCACAATATAAGCACGACCGGTAAACGGACCGAATGAAAACGCGTAAACGATTATTCATAGATATGTATTTTTGACAATACGCTATATTCCCATTATAAAGTAGCCGAATTGAGAAATCGAAGTTATATTACATATTTTATTAGAAGACATTGTTACACTTGCCACGGATCGCGGTTTCGTTCTTGATCGCGAGGCATACGTCGCGAACGGTTGCCATGCAACGATGATCTGTTGAACGACTGCGGCGTCGATCGACAGTCGTCGTTTATTGTCGAAAGAAACGTGTCGAAATAAAATGTATCGTTGTTTCTAACCGAAAATTCTGTTTTCTTGCTTTCAAGATAATATAGTGTAAATTATTTATGAACATTCGTTCACGTGTTTTCATTCGTCCTATTTACGTGCCGGACTAACACTGAAAATTAGCGAAAATTAGTAAAAAGTGACAGAGAAAAGTGATAATAAAAACTAATAATGAAAGATAACAATGAAGTTACTTGAGCGTTTTTTGCGAGTTTCTGTATGGTGATTTATTTATGCTATCAGTAAGAATCGGTGAATCAACCCGGTGATAGAGATGCATTTTTAACCGACTTCGAAAAAGGAGGAGGTTACTCAATTCGATCAGTATATTTTTTTTTCTCTTTTTTTTTTATGTATGTTCGCCGATTATGCCTAGCTGGATGGGCCGATCGGAATGAAACCTTTTGCATCGGGTAGGTTCTGACTCCTCATTGGTACCATTATCAAAAAATTTTTCATTTTTTAATTGCAAAGTATTGTTATTGCAAAAAAACCGGCAACTTTTGAAATAAACTTTTCTCGATTTTAGTGCTCTTTTGATATCTTATCACGGACATGATTCTGAACAATTTTGTTCATATGAACGCAATTCATCGGGTTCTTTGATTTTGGACATGTCGTATAGGTTTCGTAGTGTTTCCGAGAACAAGTTACTATCATCTAGATCTTTTGAGTAAAACAACGCATTAGGAAAGTATTTAAATTTATCACAGGGAACGGATTTGATTTTTGGGATGTCAAAATTTTTGTAATGGAACTCTATAAAATTTTCGAAAGAATGCGTGTTGTGAACTATGTTTATTACCGGATAACGGGACAGTGCATCTGCGTTTGAGTTAAGTTTTCCTGCTTTGTATATTATTTTGTAGTCGTATTCCTCAAGTTTCAATCGCCAGCGTACTAGCCGACTACCTGGGTCTTTGCAATTAAACAACCAGGTTAAAGGTTTATGGTCGGTTATTACGGTAAACTGTCGACCGTACAAATAGGGCCTAAAATGACTAACACTCCACACGATAGCGAGTAACTCCTTTTCGGTAGTGCTATAATTCTGCTCGCTTTTGTTCAGGGTACGGGAAGCATACGCGACGGGGAGGTCTTTCCCGATTGTACCTTGACTTAGAATCGAGCCTATCGCGTAATTAGATGCGTCAGTTGTGAGAATGAATTCTTTATTAAAATCGGGATATTGGAGGATCGGTTGTGTAACTAGTATTCGTCGAAATTCATTGAATGAGTTAGATTGTTCTGAAGTCCATATGAAAGGGGTGTCTTTTTGAAGTAAAATTGTTAATGGTTTAGCTATTTTTGCAAAATCTTTTATAAATTTTCTATAGTATCCGATAAGTCCTAAGAAAACTTTAATATCTTTTTGATTTTTTGGAACGGGGAATTTGTCAATAGCTTTAATTTTTTCTGGATTAGGTTGTACGCCTTTATCTGAAATAACGTGACCTAAGTATGCTACTTCTCGTCGCATAAATTCGCATTTATCGGGTTGAAGCTTGAGATTATTTTTTCTGAGACGATCAAAAATTGCTTTTAATTTTCCGGAGTGTTCCTGAATCGAAGATGCACAAATAACGATATCGTCAATGTAAATAAAACATTGCAGACCTTGCAATCCCATTAAAATTGTATTCATTAATCGCTGAAAAGTTGCCGGAGCGTTTCTAAGCCCGAATGGCATTCTCGTAAATTCGTAATGACCTGACGGTGTTGAAAAAGCTGTTTTCCGTTTGTCGGAATCCCGCATTGGAACCTGATGGAACCCAGAGGCTAAATCTAAGGTCGTAAAGTATTTGGCATGGCCTACCTGGTCTAGAATATCGTCAATGTTAGGCAGTGGGAATGCGTCACCGACCGTCACCTCGTTTAAACGTCTATAATCAATTACGATTCTCCACTTACGTTCGCCCGACGAATCTAATTTTTTGGGTACTACCCACAGAGGGGCTGACCATGGAGATACAGAAGGCCGTATTATTCCCTGTTTTAACATTTTATCGATCTGCTTATTAACTTCGGTCTTGTGAATTTCTGGGTATCTATATAATTTCGTGCAAATCGGAGTTGGATTGGTTACATTGATTTCGTGTTCAATAGCACTAGTCGCGGTTAAAATATCGTCTGGCAAATGGAATATATCGTTGAATTCTGTGCAAATATCTAACACTGATGCTTTTTCATCCGAATTTAAATGATCTAATCTTAGATTTTCCTGTAAAAGTTTATTACGATTTGGTCGAAAGGTATTTGAATTATTAAATGACATTATAGTAGCTTCTTGCGGTAAGCGTTCTAAACATACAGAAATTGAATCTATTTCCTGATCTATAATTCGCGTATTTAAAATAGTTGCAAAGGCTTTGTTGTTTTCGCGTACTTTGGTTATTGCTTTTGACAAGTAAATTCCTTTTGGTAATACTAATTCCGGAATGATACCTTCTTGAATTTCGGGGTTTTTTATTTTAATTTCGATGAGGGTCTCGGTTCGCGCTTTGAGTTTAATTAGATTTATTGCCGGATTTTCGGATTTTTGAGAACGAAGTTCAATTGGAATTGGCAATGATTTAAGCGTTAATGTGTGAGATTGATAATCGATTGTTGCAGATTCTTGTTGCAAAAAATCTTTTCCTAACAAGCCGTCAAATGGGACGTTTGTTGCTTGATTTAGGATATAGAATTTAATTTTTATCGCGCAATCTTGAAACTGAACTGGAATTAGACAACTACCTACTGTCTCGACTGGGATATTTGGACTAAGACCGTGCAATATTAATTTATCCTTTGAATTAAAGGGTGTATTTGGGTCTAATTTGCATGCTTTTATGAGAGAGACGTTTGCACTTGGTGACCCCGACGTGATCTTGTATCCGGGATAGTGATTGTGTAGTGACACGTGTACAAAGTGAACATTTTTGGACTATTGTGATCATCATGGCCAATCAAGAGGATAATTTGGACAATAAGGAGATAATAAATGTTGCTTCTGCAACTCTAAGAAGCCCTACCTTTTGGCCACAAAAAGTTGCTTTGTGGTTTCAGCAACTTGAAGCGCAGTTTGTTATCGGACGTATTACCAAAGATGAAACAAGATTTGGTTACCTGATCGCCCAGTTAGATGGGAAATATGCTGTTGAAGTGGAGGATATTATTTGTAACCCGCCCGAAATAAACAAGTACGAAACACTTAAGGCGGAGTTAATAAAAAGACTATCCGATTCGGACACAATGAGAATCCGGAAATTATTGGAAACCGAAGAAATTGGCGATCGGACGCCAACTCAATTTTGGCGCCACTTAAAAGACCTTGCTGGCTCCGCGGTGAACGAAGAGTTTCTCGTCAAAATTTGGAAGAATCGCCTTCCTACTAATACGCAGCTTGTTCTTGCTGCGACTTCCGATAAAGTGGGATCCAAATTGGCAGAAATCGCGGATCGAGTGCATGAAATTCCGGCAGCCCGCCATAGGATAGCGTCCACTTCGGCGTCTACAACATCTACGACGAGTTCGCAGGAGATTCAATTGCTCCGCGAAAGTTTAGAGCAGGTACAGCTGCAATTAAAGGCTTTGACCGAAGAACGTTGTAGTCGGAAACCATGGAGGCGTTTCAAGTCCCGTGAGCGGTCAGGCAGTAAAAATCGGCAGCGATCGAATAGTGTACCGCGTAATTTGTGCTGGTATCATCACAATTACGCCGAAAAAGCTGCGAAGTGTATACCCCCGTGTTCGTGGTCAGGTCCGAAGCCGGGAAACTTGTAGGACCGTCGCACGTTAAAGCGGCAGTACCTGGCGGTCCTAAAACAGGCCGCATTTACGTAACGGACCAGGTTTCGAAAATACAATATTTAATCGATACTGGTGCGGACATTTGTGTTTTTCCACGCTCGCGTGTGTGTGGTCGATCGCATAGGAGTGACTATGAACTGTATGCAGCCAACGGTTCTCCTATCGCGACTTTTGGCACTATTACGATGTTCCTTAATTTATCGCTACGTCGCGAGTTTCCGTGGCGGTTTGTAGTGGCCGATGTGGAAGGACCGATAATCGGAGTTGATTTTTTGTCGCATTACAACCTTTTAGTGGACCCGCGAAATAAACAATTAATCGACGCGACAACAAACTTATTTGTGTGTGGTCGATTGGTGAATGATAGTGCGGCATCTGTTAAAACTTTAGTGGGTGATTCTGTTTACCATAAACTTTTGGCAGAATATCCGGACCTCACTAGGCCGACCGTGTTTCGCAGGGAAACGGTCAAGCACGACATTCAGCACTTCATCGAGACGACTCCAGGCCCACCTGTTTTCAACAAGCCTCGACGTCTCGCTCCGGACCGTTTGCAGGTGGCTAAGGCAGAATTTGACCTGCTGTTACGACAAGGAATCATCCGTCCATCGAAGAGTCCGTGGGCGTCACCTTTACACCTGGTTACGAAGAAGGACGGAAATAACCTTCGACCATGCGGTGACTATCGTGCACTTAATGTCCGTACGATTCCGGACAGGTATGCTCCCCCACATATCGAGGACTTCACTCAGACATTACATAACAAACGTATATTCTCAAAAATAGATTTAGTCCGCGCATTTCACCAGATTCCGGTAGCGCCACAAGATTGTGAGAAAACGGCTATAACGACGCCGTTCGGGTTATTTGAATTCATTTTTATGCCGTTCGGTTTGCGGAATGCGGCGCAAACTTGTCAGCGTTTTGTAGACCATGTTATTCGCGGTTTAGATTTCGTTTATGCGTATATTGATGACTTTCGTATTGCTTCTGAGAACGAAACAGAACATAAAAAACATCCTAAAATACTTTTTGAACGCTTAAACAAATACGGTATCGTAATAAATCCGACGAAGTGCGTTTTCGGTGTTAGCGAAATTTCGTTTTTAGGCTATACAGTTAATCGCGATAGTATTAAACCAATGACTGAACGCGTTGAAGCAATTTCGAATTTCGAGAAACCTAGCACTGTGAAATTACTGCGAAGATTTTTAGGAATGGTCAATTTTTACCGACGTTTTATACCTGACGCGGCGAACCTCTTACAACCTTTGAATGACCTGTTAAAGGGTTCGAAAAAAGGTAATACACCTGTACCGTGGTCAGAAACAGCAGAGAGATCGTTTACTAATATTAATGAGGGTCTTGCAAACGCTACTTTATTAGTTCATCCAATACCTAATGCTCCAGTTAGTATTACTGTAGATGCATCAGATTATGCTGTAGGAGCTGTATTGCAACAATTTAATAATAATATGTGGCAACCCCTTGCTTTTTATACGAAGGCTCTTTCTGCTGCACAGCGTAAATATAGTGCGTACGATCGTGAATTGTTTGCCATTTATACCGCAGTTAAACGTTTCCGATATTTTGTAGAAGGACGAAATTTTATTATTTACACCGATCACAAACCGTTAATATTTGCATTTCGACAAAAGTTAGATAAGTGTTCCCCGCGACAGTTTAGATATCTAGATTATATTAGTCAATTCAGTACAGATATTAGACATATAAAAGGCATTGCAAACAATGTCGCAGATGCGTTATCTCGAGTAGAGACTATTTCCTCGTCTATTGATTACAAAACGTTTAAACAAGCACAAAAACAAGATCTAGACTTAAAACAGATGTTAGAAAGCGAGACTTGTACCCTTCAGCTTAAGAAAGTACATTTCCCAGACTTCGACGTTTTCCTGTATTGCGATGTTTCGAGTGGTTCTGTTAGACCTTTTGTCCCATCTTCTTTGCGTAGGACAGTTTTTGAATCCCTTCACGGACTTTCTCATCCTGGAGTCCGTGCTACACAAAAGCTGTTAACAGACCGATACGTTTGGCCAGCAATAAATAAGGATTGTCGTGAATGGGCTAAACATTGCATTTCCTGTCAGCGTGCTAAGGTCAATAAACACGTTAGAACTCCTATTACCAACTTTAAAAATTCTGGTAGGTTCGACCATGTCCATCTGGACATCGTAGGGCCATTACCAATGTCTAATGGTAATAAATACTGCCTGACTTGTATTGACCGTTTTTCTCGATGGCCGGAAGTAGTTCCTATTGCAGAAATTGACGCGGAAACTATTGCAAGAGCTTTCGTTAATATTTGGATTGCTCGTTTTGGTGTTCCGTTGAGAATTACAACTGATCAAGGACGACAATTTGAATCAAATTTATTTAGAGAACTTTCTCGTTTAATCGGTGCAGTTCATTTACGAACAACTGCCTACCATCCGCAAGCAAATGGTATGGTAGAAAGGTTTCATCGTCAACTTAAAGCAGCCATTAAATGCCACGCTACCGAAAACTGGGCAGAGGTTTTACCTATTATTTTGCTCGGTATTCGGTCAGCCTTTAAGGAGGATTTAAAAGCGACACCGGCCGAATTACTTTACGGCGCAGGTATACGATTACCTGGCGAATTTTTTATTTCTCGCGGTATTGAGGGAACTTCCGATTTTGTAGTTCAATTACGGAAATGTATGAGTCAACTTAGGCCCTCTGCCATTGTTCGTCATGGTACGCATAAAACGTTTATTTACAAGGGCCTTGCTACGTGTACTCATGTATTTTTGAGGCATGATGCAGCTAGAGGACCTTTACAACCTCCATATGACGGACCGTTTAAGGTCATTCAACGTGGCGACAAAACTTTTGTTATTGATATTAATGGTAAAGAAGTTAAAGTTTCTATTGATAGGTTAAAACCTGCTTTCATTTTGGCTGACGATGATACTCACCGTATATCTGATCACAATTCAAATGATGATATACAAGTATCTCAATCAGACACCGATAATAATAATACTAAGACAGCAGATGGTAGTTTTAAAACGCGGTCAGGCAGACGCGTTCATTTTCCAAAGCGATTGCAAGCTGGTATTTGACTAGAGTAATACATATTTAGAAATTCAAACGTGTTTAGACCATATTTTCTGTAACGTATGAATATTATGTTTTCTAAGTGTATTGTAATTCATTTAAAGTGTGTGTGTTATAAATATTTATACATGTAAGATGTAAATATTTATATATATAGGTTTTGAGTGCGATGTTATTTTGATTATAGCATGTAAGCATTATATTAACCATTCGTTCGATATTTAATCGTATTTACTCCCTATTATTTTTTTTATCTTAGCGTTAATCACTGGTAAGGGGGTACTGTGGCAGTAAAGCCATAAATCGTGTCGAAAGTTTTGGAGGTCCTTGAAGACCTAGGCTTACTCGAGCGTTTGTACGCGTAGGCCCTTGTTTGCCTTTTTAGGGCCATGTGGCTATTTTCTCTTTTGCAAGAGTCGTTGGAAAATTCGGCAGAATCGTCCTCACCTTTGCTGCATACACATCGCGCTTATCTACCGAGTTAAAGTTCACAGTTTTGTACTGAATTATTATTGTTATTCGTTATTGTTATTATTATTGTTATTGTTTTGTTAAATATAATTTGTTGTCCGTTACCCCGTGTCACAATTACTTCACGTTATCCTAAACAGATATGAATGAAACCTATTTACTCGTTAGGTAGTATAGTAAATACATTTCAACCTTTTCGGAGGCGGCGCAAAATTAAAAGATTTTCTTGAACATGTCAACCTTTGGACAGCCGAATATAGGCAAAGCTTGTATAGCTATTTTTTTTTCTATACATATAACTCGACAGCACGCCGCGAAGTAGGTGTTAGTGCGCGATCACGATCGACTGTCATTTTCGAAGCTGTCGCTCTCGCGTCTGAGCGCGCGAAATCCTCGCGCTCTGATTGGTCCGCGTTTTTGCTTAATAAGTCAAAAACGAAGCTTCAAACCCCATTTTTGCAAAGGAAAATCTTGTTCAGAATGACGTCCTCTACCACCCCTTTCAGGGAGTAACACTAGTTACGGGACACCCTGTATTGATCCTCTACTACCCCTTTCAGGGAGTAACACTAGTTACGAGACACCCTGTATATACACATTAGTTTCGATAAATGTATTTATATGAACGCGAGCGTTGGTGACTTATTCAAATTCTGAGTAGTGAACACCATCGTTTTTTAGATTAATGAGTTTAACTTGAGAAAAATAATACTCAGTTGTGTGCTTTCGATGGAAATTTGTTTGACTTGAAGAAGATATAAGGATAATATGAAGATAAAGATAAAGATAAAGGGTAAATTTACAAAAGAGTTACTTTCTTTTTGAATTCGGTGATTTTTTAATGTTGTAAAAATCGATAAAATCGATTGGGACAATTCTTTCTGTACACATAACTGGCAATTTCGCTTAATTTCTCAGAAATTATTCGCGAAAAACTGTTGCTTTAAAACATTGAATTCTGCCTATGTATAGGTATGTATCCACCGTGGTGTACTCGTATACCTCGTATGTCGATGTTAGTTGTTACGATGTTGTTACAATTTTGTCAGTTTATACGTTTTATCAATTCATAATGTTTATTCACTTCTTTTTATAAAACCTGTTTGCATTTTTGTTATCTATTTATCACCGTAATGAGTTAAGAGTAACTGCCACTGATGTGTATCGGAAAAGGTTGCTTAACACATTTAAAAATCATCGAAATCGAAGAGTAAGTAGTTCTCCTGCAAGTTCACCCACAGTTAAAATAGTATCAGTTTTTCAAAATCTTCAGTTATCTTTTTGTAAAAAAATTCATTACTGAGCAAATCCTGTGAATATATACATATTTGTTTCTTCGTAGTTCTTATTTTATAATAGCAAATTTATATTTTAATCCATAAACGGATGAAATCCTTATATAA